TACCCCAACCAAGTAGTCTGCATCTACCAACATGGCTAAGACTAGAAGTTAGTGACTTCAAGCACTGGTTTACTGCTCACTTTCGGTCAAATAAATTCCTCCCTTAGTTTCAGCGTATAGAATATCTTCAGTCATATTTGAAGAAAAACTGAAAACTGTTAATAAAAACGTTACATTATTATCCTTTACCAGTGAAATTATTATTTTAAGTGAATGTTCGACAGAAAATGTTTTTAAGAAACAAATTTTCGAATTTCCAGACATTATGAAAAAAAAATTAGTCGTTTTAACTGGTTCTCATACCCACCATTAACTACTCGATAGATCTATGTGTTTTTCATCATATAATCATTTATATCAATAGCAAAGAGGTATTTCAATGTTGATTTGTCTTCTCATCTATTCACGACTGGAGATATAAGATAGTTTGGGGCACCAGAGGTCTGGACGTTTGTCGTTGTTTAGTCATTCAGTCAAATAACTTCCTATTTATCTCAATAAAATTTGAAATTATTCTTTTTCACAATATTCCTTATTAGTTCATACTCTAACAAAATGGTATCGTACTCAAGGTGAAATAAATCATAACGAAGTGACATCTAAGACATTTCGTGATAAAGTTGATGCTGCACGAATATGTGTCAATCAAAATTTGGATGAACAACGAAATTTATTATCTCAACTACGAATTAAATGTGAACCGTATTTTAATCAAATTCTCAAATATCGACAGCATAGTGTGATAGCGGATTTACAAGAAGCTTGTAAATTATTTTTAAGTATACGTAAAGATGTTGAGAAAAGTTTACATTGGCATTCGGAATTCGAAAAAATTTGCAATGAAGAACTACAGTTGGTAAGTTCTTTCTCTCATGTTTGATAATTATATTATTTATGCATAACAACAACAGTAGTTGCTTTGCATTAGATATTGTCAGTGACTGAACTATCGATTAACATAATTCTATGTGTGGAGTTAACCTGTGACTGTTATGCAAACCATTCGATCTGTAATGAAGAGTAATGAAAAGCCTTACCGATGAAACAATTCTGTATGTATGTTGATATCGTGAAACGATATAGTGGAAACGGTGTTAGAAAATACTGGGATCTGTTAGTGAATATGAGTCATTAACGTATGAGGTTGCTTACCGTTATCATTAAAACATTGTTGGGACCTACAATATGGTTACTTGACACTTCTTTGTTAGGAATGAAACAAAATTGGAAGTTTCCTGTTCAAAGTCAATCAGACAATGTTAGAGATCCCTAATGTGAAAACTAGAACAACACATAAGCGAACATTAATATTTTCAGTTAAATCGTGATCAGACTGTTAGCGGGATATAGATTAAACTAAAGCGTTTCGTGCAGCATTCTGTCGGGGCGCTCTGATTGGCTATTTCGTAACTAATCAGTACTACAGATACTTGGAGAAGACTCTAGAATCACCTTATATGAAAATTATAAATAAACCAATGTTTTTTATTGTGATTCCTACTTTCATTCAGCCTTTTTATTTGGAATATAATTACGTTCCTGTTCAACTGTCTTCTGATTTGGTGACTTATTGAGTGAATTCGTGTGCAAAAATACTAAACAATAGGAGTGGCTGGGTCGTTAAAAGCGTATTCATAACAGAACCTACTGTAACATGCAGGGTTATTTATATACATACATGAAAATATTAAACCAGTTAAGGCAGTTTGTGAGTCGATGCTCATGATTCAATAGATGGCATAATAACAAATAACAGGTAAAAAGTACAAATCGATTCATAAGAAGATAAGTGTAATACTTTTGATAAGAAAAATGAGATAATCAATGTTTTAATCAGTATTTCAGTACAGGAAGTAGGTCGAACTTGTGTAAATATTAAGGTATTATGAGTATAGGGATTTTGCAGAGATTGTAGCAATTTCATGGTTGAAATCACTATTGAGAACCCTAAAGTACTGGACGGCCGTTTCGTCCTAGTATGGGACTTTTGCAAGTGCGCATCCACAACCCTGATTATGGAAACTGAACCAAAGGTCTTTACTCTCACGCGCTGACGCTTGACCTTTAGACCAGTAAACCGGCGTGATTTCAATCAAATTCAACATTATCCAGAATCCCATATTGAACATTACATTGGTGTTGATAATTCTTATTTCATTGAAAAATCGCAAGTCCTTCGGTTCATTGATTTGCATATCACAGTTATGTACATTTTGCATGAAAGTACTTTCATATTTAAATGATTAGAGTTGTTTGTACGTTTATTGCAGTTGATTTAACATACCACAAGTAAATCGGTACGACAAACAACTAACAAAGTAGTTCAATCGAAATCTGGTATCTCATCAAGATATTGATTTCGTGTCAGGTCTTGAGGCACAATGATAACTACAGCTATTTTTTGATGCAATAAAATTAATGGTCAATCGGTCATAATGCAAACATAAAACTAAGTTGTAAGCTCATCACATTGACAGCTTCGTTCATTCTTTAACTTTCTTGGAAAGTCAAACAGTTTTGTAGTTTGGTTATTATAGGTACTTTATTATGTTATGTATGCTACCAGAAGGTATCTATGGATGTTTCATTAGACCCTTATCTAGATTTATTCCTATCTGAATAAAACGAAGACGAAGAACGATATTTCATCATCACCACTTAAGCATCTCTTGTCGTGAAGTTTCTGTTAATAATTATTCTACTGTGTTTCTTCAATTGTATGGGAATATCGTAAGTACTGTGTTGTGTTTGCTTTTTAGAGCGTAGACTAAGTGCACAGATACTTAAGATGCATGGTTTTCAACTTTCTTTAAAATGTCCACATCTCACTTTGTTTCTTTGATTCAATGATGTCACCACCAGTAGAAATTAACGATAAACAAACGAGTAGGTAATCTATTATATGTACATATATGTTTTAATGTATCAAAATACTGAACAAGAGTTGATTACACTTTTCACTTGTGTACATTTTAGGTGAATGATTTCTGTTTGGCTCGTAGTGACGAAATTAATCAAATTATATCAGAAAATGAACAATGGGAATCTGTAACCCATGATTCAGTATCAAAAGATTGTGAGTTAATTTCACTGACTCTAGAAAAAGCTCTTCATGTGCTTTAATAATACTCTACTTTTAAACACAGAAAGCTAGAGTTATTCGTTGCTACTTATAATTCTACAGATCTATGAAAAGACTAGTTTGAATCCCATTCAAAAAAATAATCTAAACGTATAAAAGACATTTGTTCTGAATATGAGGTATCTAAGTGGATGGGAAGATGTACAACATGGGACCATCTATATTTACGTTACCCCAATCACTCTATTATGATCAATCTTTAATCATAACATTCACGGCTTCCAAATATTTATCATGTTTCATGAAGAGCTACTGGTTTTCGCACAATCCCACCTGACAGTTGGTTTTTATAGAGATTGATTTCGACTTGTGTTTTACAGTATAACCTTACCATAGCCGAAATGGTATTTTATTGTAGAGAGTCAGTTAGTACACTTAGTGTGCCATATATACCTTAGATGACGTATGATCATGAATTAATCAGTATATCTTCCTTAACTACAAGTTGGCAATCCATACTGAGTTGGTGGTTTCATCACTAGTGTAAAATTCAGTAAATCGGTATGAATATTCTATTTGGAAGTGAATTACAACCTCGTTTCCTTGGTGGAGTACGAACCAGTTTTTCCTCATTTTATTCTATATCTTTATTACCAATCAAAATTGTGTGAACATGGATATGTATATATTTTTTCATATATTTATAGAATACTTATATTTAAAAACTTGAAAGTTTTTCAGTACAACTCAGTATATTGATAAAACCTTAAAGATTCATTTCCTAGATTGAAAGAATACACTTTTTATAAATAATAAGTACATCTTCCTCTACTTATTCGATATAACTACTACGATATTAAATTAGTTTTTTTCTTTATGTTACAGGAATTTATTCATCACCATTATCATACCAAATCAGCATTATGCAAAATTATTTTCTGCTTTTCATTTGATTATCATTGAATATTGCTCGGTTTTTTTTTTGTTTACATTTGATTCATTGATTACATAACTTTTTAAAATACATATATATTCCCCATCCATTGTTAGAGAACAATACACGGTGACGTCTACCCATCAGCATTCACAAAAGTTTTCTTTTTTTTTTGATAACATCATCCATGGATAATATTAACTATGTCATAATTAGCCATCTTTTTCCAAAGAGACTTAAGCGGTCAGTTTGTCTTATATTTTTATTTCATTTACGATTACATATACATTAATTCATCCCACCAGTGATCAGTAATTTTTTTATTGTATGAGTTAAACTAAGTCACTATATTCATTTATATTTGCCAATATTATGAAACTGATTTTTTCTCCTTTCTAGTCTAAGCTAATTTTGATCGTAATGGTTAACTTATATTTTCACTTTCTTTTTTTTTAAAACATTGTTTTATGCGTTGAATAATATATTTATATTTATACAGTTTGTCATTTCTTCAAATTAAATACCCTCTATTGAATAGATAAATCTGTTATTGGGCCAAATTAACAAAAGACTCTGGTTGAGTTGCATTTATGTATTTATGCCAAAGTAGTATCAAAGCAAATGTATTGTCATAATCAGATAACAAAATGTTAAGGATAGTCTATTGCTTGGATAAAATGATAATATAGTATTGACATATCATAACCGTTTCACAATACTGATCTGAATGGTGAGTGTCATTGTATTGCAAACACTACCCCAAATCCAAAAGAAAGTTATTAATGAGTGGGTGAATGTTTTGGTTTGATTATAAATTCATAATCGGTCATTTAAATAAAATAATTGTAACATGTTTACCGAGTCCCTCTGAGTTAGACTTTTGTGTGGGAGCTGGTGATATCACCTGTATGTTCTAAGTCAAAGTTTAAAATGGTTCTAACTTGCGACCCATCGATTAAACTTCAAGTGCTTAAAACACATAAACGTCGTCCAACATCAGCCACTTATTTAAATATCTGTCGATTCAGTCTTATCTACTGCAGAAAAAGGTTCCTTACTTGAAATCATTAGATGCAGATCTACTGAATTATTTTGTGAAAAGGTGTATTTTTGAAAAGCTTATAACCATTCTTAATGCTCTATCGTACAAAACATGTAGTAGTGTACATCTTGATAACCTTAAAAATTCTGAAATTTACTTGCAAAATGTTGAGTTTTTATTAAAATACCAAGTAAATGTTTGGTAACTGCGCAATTTAATGTGGATCAATCAAGTAATCTACAAATTGACAGTACAAATTTTATGCTTTTAATAACAATAATTTAACGGGATAGTCTTTGTGATGTATAACATCAAGATGTTTTTGGTTAAAAGTGGTATGCTGAAAACCAGGGATTATAAATATGTAACCCGAAGTACAAATGAAAAAATAATCAATTAACAATTATGAAAATAAGGTTTTGTCACTAAAAACTCATTTTCTCATATTAAGGTTCCCAGTTGTGTATTTTAAACATAAAACTAGTATAAAAAATAATTCATTTATGTGGTTAATAAATTATGTTTGAGAAGTTATTCGGAATTTAAATGAACCTAAGAGGTGTAGGCATAGACTATTTAGCTTGTTTATTTATATCAGCTTCTGAATGTATCTTGACAGCTTATTTACATCTCTTCTTTTTACAATATTAAAATTATTAACTGCTTTAATATATGTATATATTTGTATTAATAAAGGCGATAACTATGTACAGTGTAATATGATCACAACTATCAATGTACACGAATTACGTTCATAAGTATCAGTTAGCAGACATCAATATAGTTCATAGTCTGTAAATTCTATCGTAAACTCCGCCCTCGTCGACCACCTCGTTGATGGGTTCCAGAATGATGGCGTGAACCACGTAAATTGACAGTAGGATTATTCGGTGTTTCCTTTTTTCTTACAATAGTGAATAATGAACATAATGATTCTGTACAGAATGCACATCCAGAGAATGTAGTGCTAATTTTTTCAGAATTATCTTCGCTTGAATTAGGGACTTTACCCTGGAAACAAAATAGGAGTATTTGAAATGATGACAATCATATTATCAGTTCAATTTATTACATGATGAAACTTAGTACCTATGCAATTATCTATTCTGGTTCAGCATACATAAGCCTAGTAAAATAGCAGCGATATTTTTCTTATTTAATGAAATTTATCACACAAGTATCTTACTCAGCTTAGTCCAATTTCAGTTGACTGAAATACACACTTTTATTTCAACTATCGTTCAGACAGTAACAGTAACTTTGAGATTTTTACAATAAGCAAAAGAAGGGTAATCGGTACCAAAGTATATATATATATATATATATATATATATATATATATATATATATATATATATGCCCGTTGATATCATCTTAGCAACAAGAGCGGATATGTATTTTAAATTTTAAAAAAACCGTCCATGATTATTTGTCGAACTTTCGTCTAGTTGCTCTTTCTCGAATGGTAGAAAGAAAAATAACTATTATTAAATTGCGAATCGCAGGTTAAATGAAATACGGAAACCTGATAATTTATAACTACAATAATACCATAGACGAATAGTAATCATACGAGAAGTTCTCACTTAAGAATATCTTTGTAGTAATTATTATCAGCAAAACTAGTGCAACTTCACAGATGAGTAGGCCTAACAGCTATGATCAACCACGGCTAAACTTGTGACGATACTTACAATTTATTTCATATTTTGAACAATTTTTTTGAGCGTATATCTTACATTTCTTCTAGTGTCGAAGCCAATTATTAGTATAAACAATTGAACTCAACAAACGTTGCTGATGAATTAATGTACTTTTTAAACATACTACACAAAAAGGCATAGACAGACTAGTCAACAAATTATATCTAAATTAAGGGAGATTTACAATTATCGAGTTTTGTTTATGTTAAACAAATGAGTAAAACCAGATGAAATATTTTTTTCTAAAAATACAGCTTGTACATACCGGATCAAATCTCAAGTTAAGATGCATAGCTGTACATACTGAACAGCTAACATTTTTGACAGACATACTTTTTACAGCATCCGAAATAGACAGGAATGTTGGACATCTATAGTAGAACAAAAATAGTGCGCATACAATAAGTCAGAACAATAAAAAAAATTTAGTGGAAAATGGGAAAAAAGCATTCATCAAAAAACACTGAAATTAGTTCTTAAACTTATGTACACAACATCTAAAAGTAACTCCTGTAAAATCCACATAAGTATGCTTAAAGACGCACCGAAAGAACACAATCAAAAGTGATGTAGTTAAAAAAATATGTCCATAACCGCAGCTTTAAGAAACACAAACTTGAATTCATGCAGGAACATGTAAATATCCGTAACCGATATCCACAGAAATTGTATCCACGGTTTTAGTTGAATGATTTCAAATACTTCGAATAATACATTTGGATGTTGTGTACTATTACTAAGCTTATTTATTACTTCTATTGATTTATGAATACACTAAAATTAACAAGAAAGTCTACGACAGAAAACTGTTCAGTTATCAATTCAGTCGAAAACATACATTCGAAGTTCATCAACATAGAAGCATATTTCTTCACTGGATTGGCTCAATCAATTGTATGACTTCTCGAACAATTTGCAATCAAATATTGCAGCGAGTTTAACAATTTTGAGGATAGTAGAAATATATTATAGGAATCGACAGATCAGGTTATTCATTGAAACTAGAAAGAACTCATCCATAAGAACGATATTATTCCACGACCAAGTGTCGAAATCTAGTTATTTAATTTCATTCGAATAGTAGAATGTGTCTAAGGTTTATGTAATCAACTATGGCCATCCGTGGTTGTTTATTTTAAAAATTTTAGATTTATCATCTATTAACTAATTATCATTAAAATAAAATTGACACGTACTACATCCTTAAAACTAAACCAAATCAAACCGTTAAGTTTTGACTATCCACTTTGAGGATTACTGAACCCATATAGACATAATAATGTAAGGGTAACGTTTAAATTGCATTCAAATTTAACAGAATCTACTCTACATTTTATTTACAAAAAAAACATGCTGAACAAGCAAATAATCGTCGACCTAGTCATCCACAGTATTTTATATGATGATGAATGACATGATTGTTATTTATGAAGTTTTAACCCTGTGTACAAATAAATATTTCAATTATGGTATACTTAAAACGTTTCACTTTGTGAATTTATACCATAAAATAACACTATACTGCTGACTTCAAATTTTTACTTCATTTTTCATTAGTTTGTCTCGTTAACATGTTGCTGCTTTAATTGTATCATTACTACTAATTCGTAATACTATTTCAAAGACATAAAATTCTATTATTTTAATGACTAATAGGAATAGTTAAGAATAAGAAAACAAATGAATTTAACTAAGCAATTCAATTTCTTAATATAACTTTAAAGGCCTATCTATTTGATATTATAATATGAGAAAGAGTTTTCGGTTAAATCTAAATAGTAGTTCATCGGAATTTCGCATAAAATTGATGTATATTCTGATAGTATTAATTTGTAAGACAATGAAAAATATCATAAACCAACGTGAAATGAATAGTTGTTAAAAATCATATACAAGTATATACACGTTAGAAACGATCATTTTGTCTTTTTCCCAATGAAAAAGAGTATTTAAAAAATAGACAAATAAAAGTTTTAAGATATAGATATATTTTATACTTGTAGAATAAGAATAACTATTTCCATAATTTATGAACTATCATATGTTTTCTGAAAGTTATGCAGTGAAACTTCATCATGTAGTGAATGATTCAAAAGTATGAATAATGAAATAATCATCAAGATAAATCCCAACTTGATAAGAATGAAATTTGTGTTATTTAGGTGAGATTATGATTTTTTTTAAAAAAGAATTACGTAATAATAATAAACTAACCTATTACAATTTAAACGATATTTTGGTGCATTAGAATCATCTAAAACTAGTATACCATATGGACAATCAGGACATGCATCAACTCCTAATGATTCCATTGATTGTGGACATGTTGGATGAGGGCATCTATTACAACCGGATAATTTTGGCATTGATTCAAATGGTGGATGAGAAAAACAATATGGACAAAAAACCATATTCTATGTAAATAAACAAACGAAATAAATTATTTTTTGTTAGACTAGATGTTACACAAATTCTTTTCAATATATGTATTAATAAACAAATAATAGAACAGAAAAAGAACTTCATAAGAGATCACAAATTAAAATTCTAGTTATTGAAACGAAAATCTAGATTTAATGAAATATGCTAATTCCACTATATATATAAACTCCATGTTATTCTCTCTTTGTCTGGTTATTATCTTTTTTTTTCAAAGATTAACTGTATTAACAGTGGAAAAGAATATAAGCTAAACTGTCGGCATAAAAATTTATATGGATAAAAATTAGGAAATATAAATATTAACGTTATTTGATATAACTAAATGAGAGTAACAATTTTGATATGTGAATCCCTGATTTATGTATGAATACACACAATTGGACCATAAAACAGGTGGATCTCAATGTCTAGAAAGTCACCTGTATTCATATTATATATGAAGGATACATCAGGAACTATAGCAAAGATTATTGATACTGTTTGAAATAGGCGTAGTGCATAAACAACGAAAATCACTGCAATCAATCTTATTCAAACTAAAATATGAAATAGCACCTAAAAAATACAATGCTTCAATTGCGAGAAACAATATATCGAAGAAAGTGGCCACTCTCTTTATATACATCGGCATGAACGTCAAATAGCTTTAATGCAGGTAGACAATTATAGACACGTTCAACTGGGAAAATGTTGAAATCTCGGACAGAGAGAATACTGAGAAGATAAAAGAATTTTTAGAAGCTTGGCACTCAGTTCAATAAGCAATCAATTAACATGAAAAAATCAATCCATTTTGTCAACCAATCGTTAAATTATGGGCAACTTTAAAATCAAAAGGGATGATGATCGAGATACATATAAAGAAAAGGATAAACAACAACCAGTCACGATCAATGTTGACAGAACAATTCATTAGTTATATATCTAGAAATTCGAATAGTTTATTTCTGTATGCAGTTTGTACTGGTGTCATTCAAAAAGTAAATGAAAGTTTCGAAACTAAACTATCCGGGACAGAAAACCCAGTCGAAAGCTTCATCATCATTGTGAGAACTTTTAATGGTGCCGTGTTCTCCGACCTGCATGGTTTAATTGCGAAACTTTCATTGTTTTTATAGGTATCATTACGACCGACTTTAAACAAACTTCTCAAAGTAGACAACAAAACCAAAACTATTCATTGAAGTTACAAATCTTCATCTTCTCAGGACCTGAACACTAATTACAGTGTACAAATTATTTAAAGTTGAAAAAGTACCTCATATCCCCTGTACAGAGATTAAGGAAACAATAGAAGGCCATAATAAGGTTAGACATGAAATAACTTTCCAAACTCCCAAAGGCTTTTACATAAAGTGTTTGTGAAAAAATCAGACTAAGAATTTCACCTTACGCAACTAATTTTCATTTATATGGCATAAAAATTCCCTCAACAGATTAAACTATGTTTATTGATTGATAACCCACAATATCAAAACGATATAATCATTGGTATATGCATATATAAAAGACGTATATAATGTACATAACAAACATTTCAACAGTAAAGAATTAAATTTTCATGGCATATTACAATGTGCACTACCGACAACTTAAGATATATATAAAATACTAGCGCCAATAATTATCGGTCGCCTAACTAAGACTTGTGAACTTGAAACACGAGGAAATCAGGTTGACTTCAAACCTGGTCGTGGTTGCATCGACCACACATTCACCATTCGTCAGATTCTAGAATACAGGCATACTTATCGGCGTCCAACAATGGTGGTCTTTCTTGATTTAAAAGCACCATTTAACTCTATAGACCGCGAGATTCTGTGGCAGTGTCTGTCATTGAAAGGTGTACCTCAGATGTACATAAACCTTATGAAGGCTCTTTACTCGAACACTACTAGTCGAGTCAGAGCTTATGGCGAACTGTCATCTACTTTTGCAACCTCAAGTGGTGTCCGTCAAGGCTGTCCACTTTCTCCGTTTTTGTTTACCTTCATCGTAGACCTACTGATGGAAATAAAGTTCACGTAGACTCAATTATCAGGCATTGATCTCCTTCCAGGAGGTCCACTTATCGACTTAGAATACGCAGATGACATGGTCCTTTTTGGTGAAGACGCTGATAAAATGCAGAGTCTTTTGTTAGCCCTGAGCAACAATGCCAGCATGATTGGGACGCGTTTCTACACCTCTAAACGCAAATGTTTGCTTCGGGACTGGACTGTCCCAACATCTGGACTAAGGATGGGAGTGAAGTAGTCGAACACGTCGACAACTTCACTTATCCTGGAGGTCTGTTCAGCACTAATGGTTCGGTGTCTGACAAAATCTCAGCACGGATTCAGAAAGCTCGTTTGGCTTTTGCCAACTTACGTCACCTATGGCGAAGGCGAGATATCCATCTATCAATTAAGGGCGAGTATACTGCGCGGCATTTCGTTCTGTCCTACTTTACGGCTGGGAAACATGGCCATTAAAAGTTAAAGATAATCGTAAGCTACTAGTATTTGACCACAGATGCTTTAGAAATATTGCTGACATCTGCTGGGATCACTGGGTAAGTAATAGTGAGGTTAGACGCAGGGTATTAGGGAATGATGGTAAATCAGCTGATGAGGTTGTGAATCGTTATCGACTGAGATGGTTGAGCCACGTATTACGTATGCCTGAGCACCGATTATCACGACATGCAATGCTAACCGGTATTGGAGATGGTTGGAAGAAGGTTAGGGGCGAACAAACAAAAACGTGGAATCAGTGCTTGAAGTCACTGACTTCTGTTCTGAGTCATGTTGGTAGATGCAGACTACTTGGTTGGGGTACGCGTGACTTTCGTAACCAATGGTTGGAGACTCTTGGTGACATGACTCAGAATCGATCACAATGGCGTAGGTGTATACACTCTCTGTCTTCCCTTATACTAAGGGATTAAAATCGCTTCATATCTTTCTTTCTACGAACTAATTCTTCCTTCCTGTACTATATCCTTACACACAATCTTTCTTTTATATTATCACCACCATTGACTTAACTACTCCTATGAATCCGGTGTTCATCTTGCTGTGTTAACGAGGTATGGCAACTTGAACCGATGCATATATGTGCCTGGTCCTACGTTGTAGCTGACTGACCGACTACGAAATTAGCACTGAAAAAGATCGCCAACTGATCTCATGGTGGTGAACAGTTCATTATGAGACCTAAGGGTCATGGTGTCCAGTCGGTGTTCCAAAACAAGAATTCAGTTCTCTATAATTTATATTCTGTTTCAATATAGGGCCTCCCTACTTCCATTGTTGAGAAGCAGTATCACTGAAGATGTTGCTTTTTCAGCTGACATGTATAGAATGATAACACTTAAAGAAACGAATGTTGGAGCCAGTATAGCTTGGCTGGATCACCTTGATAAGTAATGGTAACCACCATGTCAATGTATTTTCAATTATTATAGAATAGCCGGAATTATAAATTAATACAGTAAATAATAAAAAAGAAACCTACTCTTCCTTTACCGCCTTGAGTATAGCATAGCAGTTCAAATTTATCTAAAGGACACTTTTCGGTTTTATAGGGTCGAATTGTACCATTCTGTGGTAATGTATATGTTTCATTACAAATTGAACAATGAAGACGTTGTGGTCGAGAATCTATAAACTTTAAGTATCGATGACATTTTCCACATCTAAAGTATAAAAATGCATAGTAATAACACAGAAAAAGGTAAATCAAGTTATTAAATAGTTGGATGAATGAAAACGTACACTGTCTGGAGTTATCTGAAATAAAAAAATTCCTGAATTTCAATTCTCATCAAGTTAATTCACAATAGTTATAGACGTTTGTATAGGGATTCATATAATTGTTTAGTTAGTAACTGACTACCTGAAGTTGAATTGATTTGGTGAACAAGAAATATTTCTGGTTAAAATAATTATATTACCATTGAAAATAAAGATTCTCAACACATAAAATTCTTGACAGATTCAAATCTATTTCAAGGATCTAACGTTTATTTGCTTCATATTCCAATTAGGGTATAACTTAAGATTCTCAATTATTTACTTTGAAATGATTAGTGATTAATGTAGTTAACATTTCATGTAAACAACCTAATTTCTTTGTTTAACAACGTGCACATTATGCACACAAGAGTAATAGCATTTAAGGTTTTGTTGAAGAATCCAGACACAATCATTCACACGGAGTGATACTATACATCAAGATTGATTTTATGTTTTTTTTTGGTAGGAACTAACTTTAGTAAGAAGTCTATATTCCATCTAATTTCCAACAGTCATGTATACTTGTGTATATTAAAATCTAAGATCCACCAACTATGTTACAGGTAATGATTCCAGTTAGTCGGCTCAGGTTCGACAAGTGCAATGGAGCTGAAGATCAAGTATAGAAATTAATGAGCCACACCTTCAAATATTTATGTCTATAGTTAACCAAATTCAAACAAAATTGTACATGTTTAATATACAATGTCTTTAGTGAACCGTAGTTGATTTTTCTTATTGTCAATTTCATAACCTATAATTAGACTATGTAACTACGTCCTAATAAAGGTTCATATATCAACTTAACAAATTCTTCTGGGTTCCATAAAATGAATTGCAAACGTCTAGATTTAATAGTTACTAGAAGAAGTCGAAAGTTACAGTATGTATGTTAAACACGAATTCAGCTATACGCTTGCAAATAACAACCTTACTTATGAATAGAAAAATCAGAAATGAGAATAAACAAAAAATGACTCTATAAAACATAATTTATTGAATGCCTATATTATTTTAGTGGCACTCGTATATAATACCTTTAATCTTTAAACCCTGGGATCATAATAACGATCAGTGATAATAGTGACTTTTTTTCATGTATCTTGATGTATCATAAACAAGTACTATCATATAGTTTTTGTTTCGATAAAGTTTTCTCATCTGTTAATGTTTTAGAAAAGTCCATCTTGCAAGTAAAGTCAAAACTACTAAATTTTAAAAAAAATCAAGCGAATTGTTGTCCACTTACCTGGATAAAGGTTTACCTGAACTAGCTAGAGTAGTGAATGAAACTTCAAACAATTGATCCATACCATTGATATGTTCAACAAAATAACGATATTTTGCGGCAAAAATAGCTAAAACAAATTGTAATACTAAATCATATTTAGCATGACCACGAGCAATATGATTTAATTGTTCTTCAACAGCTCTACGCATATGTGGTAGGACAAGTTCGGCATCGATTGTTTGATAACCATGAACGAGTACAATCCCTAATGGTGTAGGTTGTAGTTTTCGCCCCGAAAGAAGCTGTGTTTGATTAAGAAAGAACACACACACAAACATATAGATAGGAATAGAATGACCGAGAAAACAATAATCTCGAAAGTAAAAAAGTTATACCTCAAGAAAATAAAAGATAATGAAAAATCTTCAAAAAATAACTTCTACATTGATTTCTTGTAAATGAGTAAGTAACACATTCCAAGTTAATGAATACCATAAAGTGAAAAAGTATAAAACATTGAAACTAGAACGATTGTTAGTGTATTTAATGTTCAGAAGTAGTCTACAGTAAAATTAAGTGCTTTTATATGGTTAATAATTGAGAAAGTAAATTAATAAAGCATGTTTTTCATGAGAGCATAAGATCTATTAAAACTAGACAGCTTAGCATTGAACACTTGTTTTAAAGTGAATAAACTCTCAATCATGAATTGGATGTAGAGGATAACTTAAAATCATAGTCTCTGATATTTCACGATAATCCTGTATTTTTCAGTCAATATAGGTTCTATATTATTTGACATTAAAACATTATCATTACTATCAAATCAGAATGAAATGCAAAATCGGAAAATTTACACTAAATATTAATTAAAAAGATTTAGTCAGTAATTTGTTGTATTTTATTTGCTAACGTTGAACGTTCAATCAATAAACAGAAAATTAGTAAGTTAAAGATTAATTCTCGATTTCATTTCCATTTGTTTAAGTAGATAAATAAATATATAATTGACTTATAATTATGTAAATAATTAAGCAGATGTCTACTTGATTAAATTTTCACATAAAAACAGTACGAATCAACATGGATAATCTTAGTGGATTAAGATAATGCTGATTTATAAGCGAAGTGACTTAAGTTTTTTTACATAAAAGCCTGAAGTTAATCCTAGTATTCAGCTACATATATACATGATGTTTGTAGGGAATCCAGGTTAGACCCCAGTAGCTATGTGCCATATAAGCTAAGATAATTTCATGTTGAACAATACCAAGAAATATATAGTGATGAAAAATTGCCATCTATATACTAGTGTGACAATTTGAACAGCGATACACTCGTGCCAGCTTCTGTAAACACAGGGAACAAGAACTCAGGTGGAAAACACCAATTTATTGTTTAATACAAAATTACTGAATATCTTGGTAAAATATAAGAAGTATACATTGAATAATTCATTTGCAAAATTTCATCACCTAACCTTCACATTCAGTATGATTTTTCTGGTCCACAATTATTTTTTTATTTCCGTTTCTGTTTTCTTCAAGTTGACCTTCATAGCCTTCTGCTGCCAGGTTTTCCACTTCCAATTGGTGTCACATACTACTTATGTCTGTCAACATAAGTAGCATATACCACATAAAGACTATGACTGACTGAAGGGTAGTCAGAGGTAATGAGCAATATGGTCCTAAAATGTTAACAGTGACTCAATTACCTTGCGTATTTATTAGCCTCTTAGTCTTATTGCTAAGTTCATTTCATATTATTGATCTCCTCTCTCACGGTATTGGTGAGAAAATGTAGTACCCTGAACTGATACACATCTACCCTAAGTCTCGAATTGTCTATATTAATTAATTATTAATTTTAATCCTTACTTTGGTTAGTTATCTAATCTACCTCGCAATTAATTTGCCTCTATATAAATAAATAAACAGTTTGGTTATTGTTATAAGTGTTGACATTTGCTGAGTCGAATTATCTCTATTTAGGGACACAAAAATAATATGGACATAAATACGAAGAAACAAATACATAATATCATCATTATGATAGAGAATTTACTTGAACGTAACCTCTTTGAACGATATTTTCTATATGTGTTGGGATTGATGCATCAGTTCCAATGCCATGACGTTCCATAGCGGTAATTAATTCAGCCTCAGTTAAATAGTCTGGTGGACCAGTTTGTCCTTCAACTAAACTTGGTTCTTCAAGTAAATTGAATTGATAGCCTTGGTTAAGAAGTGTTATAGGCAACGATTTATCTTCTATTGCTTGCCAAGTTAATATTCGTGTAAAACCAGGTTCAACTACTTTTAATCCACTTATAGTAAACAATTCACCATCACCAATGGATACGGTCACTTGTGTTTGTTCATAACAACAATCGGGCATAATCTTCAAGGTAAATAGGAAAAAAAGAGTATCATCGTGTTGGTGATGTTAGATATCCAGAAATCACTTGGTGAACTTATTTTTGTAATTTAATTGTGGAAATTTGAATCCTTCATTTTCGTTCTAAAAGCGCCCACATAATTCACAATAACTTACAGTAAAAACATCTTAGACTACATGGAAGTAATTAATTACACAATTTACTTTTTTAAAACCGATCAAAATTTGCCAACCAAGTTATGTGAAATGCACCTACGATGTTTAGTGTAAAGCTTTCAACGCTAATGATAAAAACTAATGTACAGTATGTAACAGTTACTGAGTAATTCAGTTCTTATAAATTTCAGTAACTGACTGAATAGCTTAGTTCGAAGAAATTTTTCACCATGGACTGATATCAATGAAGAATTTAAAAATGTCACTTTCGACTTCGGACGCAATATGTTTTCTTGTTATTCTAAATACATACATCTATACTGATAAATGAGCATTTAAAAATTTTTAAAAAACATAAAATCACTTACAGTAGCGATAAAATGTTGTGTAATGTATTCATACAGTCGATAGGCTTCATGTCCCAGTTCTTGGGAAGACGCAAAACGCATAGGAGCAATAGGAGGATGGTCACCTGCATCATGACCAGCACGAGGTGGAGTTAACCCACTTTTTAGAATTTCACGAGCTAGATCTCCCCAAACTGGATTATTCACCTAAAATGATTAAATCGATGTAGAGAAAAACAGAGGTGGTGAATTAAAATTTTAGCATGAAATTACATGCAAAATAAAACTCATTAATTATAACTAAACTTATGTATTTCTTAGGATGGAAGCATTGGGAAGATCATTCAGCGTGCAGATAAACATCCTATAAATCGGGTTTTAACTGGACAAACACAGGAAATGAGGGAGGAATGGAGAACTGTCTACTTAGAATTGTGGAACTCAGCAACGTGGAATGACGACTGTGTTCCAATGTTCTCTGATCTTTAATATTTGTGTGGTTAAAATTCAGTTCGTGATTCAAATGATTTATTCGTCTTAATGTTTGCGATTGCTTAAACTTATTATCTGGTTGAAGTGAGAATGATGGATAATAACTATGACCGACAACATTCAAGATTTCTATCAATCTAAATACAGTAAAACCTATGAACTTTGTACTGTAATAATGTCATCTCATGTGAGAATCTAAAATTTCAAGAAAAGTAGGAAAGTACTGTAACAGGCAATTATAATCTCCTCTTTGGAAAATTTCCCAGTTTCTTGCAAATAAGTATAGATGAGTCTCACTTCACCTACTTTAGTTTTGGCAGCCATCAAACAAGAACAAAATGTAATGTAATACTGAGTTCGGAAGTTTCCACCTAGTAACTAGGTTACATTAATTGGATTAAGGTGTAAAATAATTATGATTACTATATTAATCTTACATGATCAGTTTGTGATAATGAAGAATACTTCAACGATAGACGTTGAATTTGAGACAGGCTGGAATATTGTTACAATAAACATACCCAAAAAACATCAAGTGAAAACTCAATCTTGAAACTATAATAATTGGTTAGTTGATCAAGATAGTAAAGTAAAAGAGTTAGTCACTGAAGCTACTGCTCCGAATCATGTTGAGGTTCACATCGAACTTGAATTTATTCATAACTCCAATTCTTTAAAATCCAAAATGTCTCAAATGATTGTTTGCATATATACTCAATTTTAGGTAACATATTTCCAAGAGTAATAAACGTAAGAAAACTATCTTGGTGGCTTTTTTGAAGAATGCTAACAAAAAGTATCATACCTGCTGCTGTAGTAATCCACGTAAATCAAATGTGTTTGGATAAGCTGTTGTCTCAGTACGTGGATAGTTTATGTAACCAGATGTATACAATCGTTCCGCAATAGCCATTGCACTATGTGGTCCAATACCTAAACCAGCACTGGCAACTCGTAACATTTCTACTGTATTCAAACCTTGTGGACGTGGTTTAATTTTCTGTTTGACAGATACCTGGACGACTCTAAAATAGAGTTAAGTTTACATATCTTAAAAGGCAGTAAAATAAACGCATATGCATGACGTATGACCGTTTAAGTACAATTATTTGAATAAAATATACATTAAAACAATTCTATTCATGAGAAAATGAGAAATAAATACTTTTCTGCATATGAAAAGCCGTCCTTACGCTTATTCATTTAATCGCAAACAAACGTTTCTGAAATGAGTTCTAAACCAACTTTCTTAAAGTCGTAACAAAGTAATTTACAGACAACCATTTTTCGGTCACAAAACCAACTTTCAAAAAATGATCAATTTAAATAACTGATCTTTAGATCTTTAAAATTTCAGTAATTTCGACTACGTAAACGTACTGAGCCTATAGCTTTATGAAAGAACTTGAGCATACATATGGCATAAAATTATGTGATAATATATGAAAATTTGGTGTCAGGAAAATTTACCGTTTATCATAACTCCCATAATGAAACTGAAGCATCAAGACTTAAAAAAACTATTTGATGGTTTATTATCATTTTCTGTTTAAAGTTATAAAATCACAGAAATTAATAATAAAACAAAAAAATTGATGAGAAGCAAGATAATTTTAATTTTTTTTACTGCTTCAGATATTTTCATACATATGTATTCATGATCAAAAATTATTCCAGGATACTCAAAATCCACGCCAAACATATAAACCTTTACTATTGCAACGAGCGTACAGAGGCATTATAAATGCATATTTCCGTGCAGTTTTTAAATAGAAAGAAACAGTTTTGAAGAAACATACATATTCAAATAGTTATTAGACTGGTAACAACGTGAGGTGACAACTACAGTCGAATTCATGTACTTGATACACTTGATTAATTATTTTATTACTCATTATGAAGAAAAGGAACTACGCAATAACCAAGTTATCTAACTAATTATCGTATAATAATCTTTGATATAAATCAGTTTACTGCTTTCATTGTGAATCTTTCACATCACAGCTATTTTCTTACAAACAAAAAGTTTTAGTTACGTTGACTTACTCTGCTGTTTTGGAAGACTTGACTCGACTTAAAAATACTGAAGCAGCTTCTTTATCAAAGATACGATCACGATTCCATGACATTTCTAATACACCCCCGGTATCATCAACACCCGAGACCTATGATTGGAGTAAAGCACACTATTATTATAAACAAAAATGAATAGGAGGTGAAAAACTAACAATGATTTTATTAAGACAGGATAAATCTTGAGATACTTCATTTAGCACAACATATATGCGCGAACAATATTGTTTTAAATTAGATTGTTATCAGGACTTACTTTAATATGTAATAATATTTATATGTATATTCGGGGTTCGCGTAATTAGTGGAGCAGGTAAATTCACTTTTTATCTTCCCTTAGATCCCAAGTTCCTGAATTCCTCATAGGTTTTATTATTATTACACTAATTTATTTTTTCTCCTAGAATTGTAACTTGGATCAATAATCTTTTCTATTACTATTACCATCTTTACTATTCTGGGATTAGTTATGGTAATTTTACTGAGTTATGCAAATGGGATATGGCAACTTAAACCAATGTACATTGTCCCAGGTTCTACGTTGTGTATGACTGACTGACATACGAAAATATCAAACCTATCAAGACAGTTTATGAGCCTATGATAACAACGAAAGTGATAATATAAATAAACCTAATGACAGGTGTACTACTAGTGATAACAAGAATAAAGGTTTGAATCATTTAATCAAAATTGAAATTTGATATCTATGACTTGCATAAACTGACAATTTATAGAAAGGTGATAAATATGACTTAATGTGAAGTCATACAATACCACCTTTGAAACTCATCTAAGATCACTGTTGACAATGCGACATGATAGCACAAACCTTGATAGTTACAAAACTTTTAATGAATCCATAACCCAATACCCGGAAAATAAATTGGTAAAGCTATTGTTGATAGGATGTATCTCAGCTTATTCTTAATCAGTGGAAGATGTAAATGTAAATGATCAGATAAGTGGCCGAAGAAAATACATTTTTTCTAATGTTAAAGTAATGTGACCAACACTAAGTCAATAACTTAAGTAGTCAAGTAATCAAATGAAAAATAAACATTAGTATCCAAAATATAAACAAAGGGAACTATAAGTTGAATTAAAGTCAAGGAGGGTAATTAATGATTTTAAGATCAATGACATATTAATACTTAATGTAAATAGGAAGACAAAGGTTCAAATCACCAATGAACGCAATATAAAACTACTGTTTATTTACTGCACATAGTTTGTAAGTTATACAGATAGAGATTTAGAATATGAAATAAGTAAACCCAAGTCTCGAAACGGAATAAATAATAAGATTTATTATCTACTAGTCCTAGAGAAAATATATGACAGAATTTAAAATTTTCTGTCACATTATAAAAGTTGGCTAAACACTCATGGTTATAAACTATGAACACAACGTTTTTAGTTACCTTTATCCGCCAAAATGTTTCTGGTTTAAATGATTGGATTTGATCGTGTCGTTTTACGCAAAATCCAAGTGTAGGTGTTTGACAAGGTCCAAACGACACAAGATTGCTGTTTAGATCACCATACTTCCCCTTAAACAGAATGAAACTTTTATTCCAAGAGAATGTATACAAAAACCAATAAACAAATGAAAGCAAGATATATGAGTAGATGGTTAATAAAAACTACTTACTTCTTAGTGAAAAACAAAAATATAAAATGCTAGCAATAACTTGGTCTAAATTTTACCATAAAATCTTCAATTTTATTCCATCACTACCACAATAAATGAGACTAATAAACCAGAATTAGTGATAATTACCTAGTAAACTCATGATGCAGTCAAATTACAACGATTCGTCTAGCCCTAAAGTGCACACTATCATTTATCAATTACATTTATTTAAGAACAACATTGGGCAGCGAATATAAAATACGCCACTTAAAGCGTGGCAATAACAGTGACGAGAGAGAAGAAAAATAGTTAAAATAATTGAACGAAAATAGTATATGATAGAAAATACAGTTAAGCTAACAATACAAACAAAAAATCCTTACGATTAAGTGATTTCTTTTCATTATTTTACGAATTTAAAGGAGGATTACAACAGGATCGTCATTCTTTGGCTTCTGTCCCAGGCATTGACTGATAATATTCTAATTCACTAGGTTGCACTGCCTATCAGACTCCAATCAGGATTTACGATGGATAGACAAACGCTAACCTGACATAGCTTCCTTTCATGCCGCAGCATCATGTCATAAACTGACCTTCTCGCTTTTTCTGACGAGTTCCAGAGTCGGCAAATAATGGATGATGTAGAAGTCTTTGGGACGACATTCGTGCCGTGTGACTAAGCTACTGAAATCGACATTTCAAGGTGATCACGCCAACTGAGTCGTTGTCACTGTGCTCCAGGGCATTGCCGAACCTAAAGAATACTAACAGATGTTGTCGGAAAACGTCACCAATTCTTTTGAGACAACGAAGACCGACACCAAACATTCTCAATTTAGAGAGGCCAGATTTCACAAACATAGAACAAATTCTCTCTCCCTCACTGAATCGCTGTAAACCCGATCTTTTACACACAGACTAAAAATGCGACTGCATCAAATACAACCTGGGTTCCCATAAGCCACTCTGGCTCTTACTACCACTCATACAATCACCAGCACTCACACGCCTAGCTAGGTACACAAACATTTAGCTTAATTATGATGCAATATCGCCGGGAGTGATTGCAGGCACAGGGCTTCTGCCAGACTTATGAAAGTGCTTTGCACTTAGAAGGTGCAAAGCAAATGGCATACCAATCGGCAGTGATTACATGATGAAGTAAGGATAGCAAATATCGTCGTAAAGTCATAAAATATCATTCGAATACTCAAGATCGAAAGGTAACACCTTCACACCATCATTATCAATTTCCTAGTTTCATCAAAGCTGTTTTTAGAATATCATTGATAGCAAAGTTGGGGAGGAATGGTGAAACTAGTCAATCCCGTAAAACTCCACTTACGAAATGGAACAAAGGGGAAGTAGTTATATTATCTTCATTCTGCCTAAGATGTTTGTATACAGACCCTACAAGATGTCAATAAACTTCTCAGGAGCACCCCTTCTTGACGGACAAGATTAGGATACATTCCTATCCAATGAATTGAAGGTATTCCTGATATCAAGAAGCATAAAGATTGTTGACCCGAAATAAGGATGACGGTGCTCTAACATTTGTGAAGGGTGAAGATGAGGTCGATGCATCCACGATCACACCAAAAAAGCAGCCTACTTTTCATCAGTCAATCTTTTATGGGATTCGGATAGTCTGTGAAGTATGATGAGAGCCAATAAGTCGAACGTGATAGACTAGATCTGTTGCCGAAACTACTGCACTGATGACATAGACCCTTTCTATAGATGTTGACGACTATCACTTCATTCCGAAGTGCTGAAATGAACTCTATTTACAAAGCCTTTCCAAACAACTCAATCTAATGATCAAAGTTCCCGACCGTTGTTGCTACCTTGACGTGGTGGTCGGGCTTGCCTATCGTGGTGAAGCAACCGAGCTATACTGGCTGGAACAACCGTTCCTCAAGGTCCTACCATGTCAGACTGGTCGGTTGAAGAGCGGTAAGACTAAAAGCAACAAACCCAAGGTCCGAAGGCGAAGTCGTACTGCTGACTGTACAGAGGTGTGACAGCAGTAAGGTGTTTCCTTCAGACAACCAGCATGACAGCGATGCTGCCTTCCCACAAGGAGGGGTGGGGTTAGAAAAGGTCGACCCTAAAAATGCACACCTCACCTTACCTCACGGATTTCCGTCTCCGGCGGTAAGGCCCTTTGAAGAACGGAGCTAACACGTCAAAAACCTCCCACGAAAAGGCCGTGCGCGACCGGCCTCAAGCAGTTGTCCCTTGGGCACTGCGGTCACGCTCTCAGGTCACTGAGACCACCTCTAATCCAATTTCCTTTTCAGGTACCTCCAGAAGAACCCTTCCTCGGTGTGGGCAACCGGGAAGTGATAACCGCCCTCATACCTCTAACAGCACTCAAGACCACTGTATTCATAATCAACCTTCCTCTTCAATTCCTATTATTCCTCCTACATCGACTTTCAACTCTAAACTTCCTTTTCGGCTTCCTCCTCAAGTGTCACCATAGCCAACGATTCTAGTGCTCAAAACACTGTCCCAGGTCTACTGAAACCTCGCTCCAAACTACACATTGGAGCCTTCAACGTACGCACCCTATGTCAAATCGGTCAGCAGGCTTCCTTGGCTAAAACCCTAGAGTCTCTTTCCATTGATGTATGCTGTGTCTCCGAAACACGCATACAGGATTCCAGTGTGGTCATTCACTTGACCTCACCTCGGCAAAACGGAGAGCCAACGAGATACACCCTCCGTGTATCTGGTGACCCGATGGCCAGTTCTCGTGGACTGGCAGGTGTAGGCATAGCACTAAGCATGAGGGCGGAACAAGCACTGCTAGAGTGGATCCCCGTCAACAGTCGTCTATGTGCTGTTCGGCTAAACGGCTCCGTAAGAACTCGGAAGGATAGGGACACACGTCGTTGCCTTTTTGTCGTTTCTGCCTACGCTCCCACTGACTGCAGCTCAGATGAAGTGAAAGATGAATTTTACAGAAAGCTTTCTGAACTTCTTCAGAAAGCTAAACGCTCAGACATAGTACTCGTAGGGTGGTGACTTTAATGCTCAGATAGGTAGCTTAAACCAAACAGAAAGGCATTTAGGTGGATATTTTAGTATTCCGGCACAGCGAACAGATAATGGTGATCGTCTGCTGCAACTGTGCTCAGACAATCGTTTATTTTTAGCAAACACAAATTTTAAGCATAAGGAGAGACATCGTCTAACATGGCGACCCCCTACACCAAACCAACGATGGACTCAAATAGACCATATTGCCATCAGTCATCGTTGGAGAGGGTCGGTAGAAGATTGTCGCTCATTCTGGAGTACCTGCTTGGACTCCGACCATGCCCTAATACGGGCACGCATCTGCTTGCGCCTCACTGGACGCAAAAAAGCCACATTAAAAAGACCCATTAGAACTGAGTTGAGTAACGAGAAAACCAAAAGTAGGTTCCAGGAACAACTGAGGTCACACTTAGGTAGTTGGAAGACGAGGCTGACCCAGATGTTGCTTGGAAAGATACAAGCAGCTGTGGAAACAGCAGTGACATCTATTAGTGACTTAAACCACAGAGTTACAAAGAACCAGTGGATTTCTTCAAAGTCTATCACACTGATGGATTCTCGCAAACTCGTCCCATCAGGTTCCGAACATGATGAAGAGCGACAACAAATCAGATCTAGGTTAAGAAAAAGTCTAAGGAACGACCGTGAGCAGTGGTGGGCAACGAAAGCAAAAGAGATGGAAAAGGCGGCGACTATAGGGAACACAAGACAGCTTTACAGACTAATAAAAGAAACTGGAATTAATAAGTCAAGTGTAAGTGAGATTATTTCGGAAAAAGACGATACTCTCATCTGCTCCCAGTCCAGACGTTTAGAACGATGGGCGGAACATTTCAGAGAACAGTTCAGCTGGCCTTCAGCTACTCTACAACTACCCTCCATTCCCAGACAGTGTGAATGGAACATTGAAGTAGGTCCCCCAACTCTTGCTGAAGTTCAAAAGGCTATAGTTAATCTGAAACGAGGAAGGGCAGCTGGTCCAGATGGATGGCTCCAGAGGTCTTTAAGGATGGTGGTCCAATTTTAGCGATTAGGTTGACTAATATTTTAGCTAAGATCTGGGAGTTAGACGTTATCCCATCTGACTGGTCGCAATCACTTATCGTCCCAATATATAAGAAAGGGTCAAAATCATCCTGTGACAACCACAGAGGGATTAGTTTAACTAATATAATATCTAAAATACTAGCCTCGATAATTATCAGACGCCTAACTAAGACTCGTGAACTGCAAACACGAGAGAACCAAGCTGGCTTTAGACCTGGTCGTGGCTGCATCGACCACATATTCACCATTCGTCAGGTTCTAGAACACAGGCATACTATCGGCGTCCGACGATGGTGGTCTTTCTTGACTTAAAAGCAGCATTTGACTCTGTAGACCGCGAGATTCTGTGGCAGTGTCTGTCATTGAAAGGCGTACCTCAGAAGTACATAAACCTTGTGAAGGCTCTTTACTCGAACACTACTAGTCGAGTCAGAGCTTATGGCGAACTGTCATCTACTTTTGCAACCTCAAGTGGTGTCCGTCAAGGCTGTCCACTTTTCCATTTTTGTTTAACTTCATCATAGACCTATTGATGGAAATAACACTCTCGTCGACTGAATTCTCGGGTATTGATCTCCTTCCAGGAGGTCCACTTATCGACTTAGAATACGCAGATGACATAGTCCTGTTTGGTGAAGACGCTGACAAAATGCAGAGTCTTCTGGTAGCACTAAGCAACAATGCCAGAATGTTTGGAATGCGCTTCTCTCCCTCTAAATGCAAGTTGTTGCTTCAGGACTGGTCTGCGTCAACACCTGAACTAAGGATAGGGAGTGAAGTAGTCGAACGCGTTGACAACTTCACTTATCTTGGAAGTCTGATCAGCCCTAATGGGTTGGTGTCTGACGAAATCTCAGCACGGATTCGTAAAGCTCGTTTGGCTTTTGCCAACTTACGTCACCTTTGGCGGAGGCGAGATATCCGTCTATCAATAAAAGGACGAGTATACTGCGCGGCAGTCCGTTCTGTTTTAATTTACGGCAGCGAAACATGGCCTTAAGAGTAGAAGACACTCGTAAGCTACTAGTATTTGACCACAGATGCCTTAGAAATATTGCTGGCATCTGCTGGGATCACCGGGTAAGTAATAGTGAGGTTAGACGCAGGGTATTAGGGAATGATGGTAAATCAGTTGATGAGGTTATGAATCTTCATCGACTGAGATGGTTGGGCCACGTATTACGTATGCCTGAACACCGATTACCACGACGTGCAATGCTAACCGGTATTGGAGATGGTTGGAAGAAAGTTAGGGGCGGCCAAACCAAAACGTGGCATCAGTGCTTGAAGTCACTAACTTCTAGTCTGAGCCATGTTGGTAGATGCAGACTACTTGGTTGGGGTCCGCGTGACTTTCGTAACCAATGGTTGGAGACTCTTGGTGACATGGCTCAGAATCGATCACAATGGCGTCGGTGTATACACTCTCTGTCTTCCCTTAAACTAAGAGATTAAAATCACTTCATATCTTTCTTTCTACGAACCAATTCTTTCTTCTTGTACTATATCTGTATATGCAATCTTCCTCTTATTTATTACCACCTTTGACCTAACCACTGCTATGAATCTTGTTGTGCTGATGCGGTATGGCAACCTGGGCCGATGCACATATGTGCCTGGTCCTACGTTGTAGCTGACTGACTGACTGAATGATCAAAGTTTGTCGTCATCCTTAAAAAGAGTAGGAGACAATTTACCCGGGCGAAGTGACTTGTGCAGCTTTAAAAGATAGAGTTTCTTTTAGAACTACCCCCTTGTTAAGTGGATAGGTTGCCAACGGCTAGGGAGTGCAGGACAGTCTGGTCTATGTTGCTGGGAAGCAGGCCGACTGAACTGCACATAGAAAAACCCTTGGATGATATTGAATAGCATCTCATCAATTTTTCAGATTGTTTCGCTCACAAGGTCCATGTACAAACCCAAAGCTTATATAAGTGGGACGTTTAGCGACGCCACAAGCGACTTCACCGGACGTCATGCAAGCGCAGCCAGTTTTTATCTGTAATTTTTGGTGGGATAATAGCAATCTTTAAATCTAGCTCAGTTTGATATTTCGCTGCGATGAACGTTGGAGCCGATTTACTTATAACAATCTGTTTCAGAAGATGAATTGATTTAGCCAATGGAAAGAACGATAAAGATGGCAAAAATGAGGGCATGATATCACCATTTAAGGTCATACCATGCCAAACAGGTCATTTGAAAAGCGTTAAAACCAAAAGTAGTAGGATAAAGATCCGACAGGGAAGTCATAATACAAACTGCACTAGAGAGTAGTGGCAATAAGCTGTTTCTCACAGGAAATTAGTATCTCCAGTCATACAGCCTTCCACGAAAGAATTTAAAAATGAAGGGCTATAGAATTTAAGATATACTTCCTAGCCTAACGGAGTATCGATAAGGGTATAATTAAGTAGTCTCAAGGGATTATGTATTCATTTCCATGGATGTGGTGGTGATATTTAAAATTTTGAGAAAATAGACGCTAATTATAATATTCAGGCTTGCATGTCAATTAAAATATTCATTACTACATTATTCGCAACCAGAATAGTCTGTTTAGAGACACGTTTATGAACACTTATACGTATTTAGATAAAAAGCTAAATAACCTAAAAAAATCTCGTCAGAAAGGGGATACAAAGATTACCATAATTATGATTTTATAAACTATTTTATTAATTAAGGAAAGACATTGCTTCAGTTCTGAAAACTCACTTGAAAAAATTTCGTTTGGAACCTAGTGAACGCACAACCGATTCGAAGATCAAGTTCTTGCCTAGCATCTACTGACAATGCTTCGTGTTTGTTAGGTTCTCTAAGATTTTTCATAGCACCATGTAGTTCTTGGTCAGTAACAGCACTGAAATGTGCACGTAGAATTCTTTTCTAAACGTAAAATCACGGTTAGACAGACTAATCATAAAATAAAAAAATTATGAAATGAGACGAATAAGTATTTTCACTTCTAGCTAGGATTAAGGACAACCAATACGTTCAGTATAATTGAGCGGTTGGAATCAAGTTTCTTTATAAACTGACGCTTATATGACATTTCATTTACGAGAACTAACATTTTCCAATAATAACCGCTCATATGAAAATTAAGTAAAAGCGGAAACGCAAAACAAAACGCAGAAGCTACTACTACGTTGTAAATTTGAAACATATACAGTAAATCAAGTGCTAATGAAGTGGAAAACTGGATAACAAACGCGCCTCCAGTTGATATTTCAATAGTTGTAGTGACCCGAAACAAACTATGATTATTCACCAAGCAACTGCTAATCTCCAAACATTAAAACACTTTTGAACAAGGTGAAGGAAATGCGAACTTATAAACGAAGAAAGAAAACCATCAAATGTGATAACTTAATGGAAACAGATAACACCTATCAATCAATTAGTGGAAAAGATCGGAAATGTTAATAAAAAGCTGTCACAATATGACAATAATGTGTTTGAGATACTTAATAATTATGGTCTGCACTAAAGTTCGATGACACCTCAATTTGTCATTATAGTTCTCAATCGTTTCAAGTTGTACACAGTTGCATAGTCGAAAATAAGTGAAAAGTTATTAATGTTCTAGAACTATCAACTCTTTTAAAACTTTAACTCTCAACTTATACATAACTTATTCGTTATTGAATGACAATTCATCTTTTAACATAATGCTGATAATTCGAAATAATTAAACTCATTAACTCATATGAAGCTGAAGGAAAAGCAAAGAAATACAGTGAATTTAATGTATTCATCAAATGTTGTCGCTTTTCCTTTGTTTAAGTTTATGAAAGAAACTGATTGTATGAAAATTCTTAATGGTAACAAATAAAAAAATAGTAACGCATTGAGAAGTAAATAAACATGATATATAAGCAACTCACGGGATGTACCATAACTGAATGGACACAATTGATAACTTCAAAACAGATATTTTCACCCTCTTTGTCACAATCCAGCCAAAGAATTAATATACCAGCATTTTTCGCCTAAACAATAGTACTGTCAAAGATATAAAAAACCTCGTGGCGAAGAAAATCCACCATTTTCAATTTGGGGTTAGCTTCCTTTTTCTCAATCGGGGCAACAAACAACTCAGCCTGAATTTGATAGACTAGTAAAATCAACTTACAGGATCTACTTTATCCCAACTATTATAACGACTTAAGAAATCGACATTCATTACGTGACCACACACTGACGTCATTTTAAAGCGAACTTGTTCACTCATAAATTGACCAGTCCATTCATGAATAGAACATGCTCCATTGAATCCACGTCGACTTGAATTACGCTTATTAGATAAGGATTTCGCTATTGATTCAGCTAGTGATGGTTTCTCAGCAACCATGAATACAGTCTGCATGGCACCTCCTGGAAAGAACAGTAAATCAAAGTCAGTCAGTCATACGTAATGTGCAATCTGGCACCCAAGTACACAGTTTAGGTTACACCAACCCATTAGGACAAATCCTAGAGTAGTAGAGGTAGTATTATCATTAGTAATGAAGGGAAGGGTTAGGTAACCAAGATACAATCAAAGAAAAAAATTCAAACTGGTGGAACAAAAAACTATAAGGACTTCAGAAGCTTAGAATCTGAAGGAAGAGAAATAATGGATGCACCTGCACCATTGCAAACGATTTCGAATCGTCTCCAGGTAACACATCCACATGCGTAGTTATGGTCCGTATACATTCTAAATCAGTACCGAGCAGAGCAACCGGTCAGTCTTGAAAACTAGACTTGCTAGCTCACGAAATTGGGGAATGCCCGTTTATAACTACGGACTTGATTACACAACGAATTCAGTGCCCTTAATATAATTAATTTTTTGCAGTTTACCATGATTTTGAACACTTGCTAAAACCTAAATTCAGTATATGACTTGATAGTTTGGTATATTTTAATGGACCCGTATATTAACATTATCTAATGCACAATAATTCTTTTAAGTTCCGTGGCGAATTCTAAAAGTTCTAACTGCCAGTGTATTTCTGAATTATAATATCTTGAACCCACGTCTTACCCTCCAAGCTCCCAAATTTAGGGAAATTTTTGGGTTTTTGTGCTATTTCTCCAATAATTTTCCCCAAAGTTTACTATGGCGGCTTCTCCAATTGGGTCAAATTTTCCCCGAAATTGGGAGCTCGAGTTTATCCGTTTTGAGGAGGCCGCTATAGAAACTATTGAGTAAATGACACAAAAACTTCATAATGTTTCGATTTTACCCAATATTTCTTTAGAACTCTTTATACACGTGTAAAGAAAAAACTATGCACCAAATGTAACGATGACGACGAGATTTTTATCAGTGTTGACAATTAAGAATTCTTTGTACATTGTAAGCGAACTCTGGAATTTACGACTAATCTGGAAACAGCATGATTACTTTCACATGTTTAATTACATTTAGTCTCAATTACTAGTGTAACGGGCAACTCAAGAAGCGCACCACTTATAACCTTTGTTCTTCAATCAGCAATTTCCAGATGACGGTATTGTAAGTTGATGGACCTTGTAACTCCATTCAACATGTACCTCACTCGAAGATCAACGATTCTCAAGATCCATATAAATTACTTCTAACTATTAATTTACCATTCACTCTACACGGGCTTTAGATTTTCTTTGGACTTGTGTAAAGGAATCTCAGGAACTACGAACTCTCAACTAAAGCCCTATAAGTGTTATGCCATGCGAGAACTGTTTTCCACACTCAATTTTAGTGTTGTAGAAGTCAACCCATGTCAGTGAAGCAAAAGCTGGAAGTACTATTTCTGCTAACATACCTTTGGCTCCCTAATCTTCCTTCACAAACCACATAAAACCCTGTTTAGTGTCTACTGGAAAGAAAGAACAATCAGAGGTTCCCATCAATAAGGTCGTGCCTATGACTTCATAACTGTTCGTTCTCGAAATTTTACTGCCATAACACAACAGCACACACTTGTAGACCGGCGTCGAGTCGCGGTTGACTATGATCACCACTACATGAAGGTTGCGTACCAGATATCAGAAGGCGATTGGAGGTCGTAGCGATATATATTTGTTGGTGATTTCGTGATATCGAAAGGATACCGAGATAGTGCCAAAGGAGTACAAGCGGGGTCACTGACCAAGTGATTTAAGCTCAGTGTGTCCAGTCAAACTAATGAGGTCAGCTTTGTATGTCGAAGACTTACAGAACTATTCATTCAGGATGTTCATGTATCGCTAGAGATCTATTTGGTTTTGGAAATAGGTCAAATGTCACATTAACACACTCATTTATATATTGATTTTAATTTGATTTGAAAATAAGTTACCAGTTTTTACACATAGGGGAAATACATAGAATCATCGCAAAAATCAAAGCCGGATTTAATACTGGATGAATTTGATACTAAATTAATTCCTAGAATATTATCATGAGCAAATAAATCATTGTCATACTGAACAAAACATCACAATAAAAACAGGATGAAATTACAATTGGTGGTCATCATATTGCATTTGTGGTGAACCAGACGATATATAAACGCGAAAAGTATCAACAAAGTTAATAAAGATCAATAGTAATGTTAATATATATAAGTTAATTATTACAAATCCGATAGAAAGTTGGGACTTTACTTAAGTTCACTAAATTGATGCGTGTTCAGCTTTGGTCTGGTACTAAGCAACCACAATTATAAATCCTTGGTAATTCCAATCTGGTTGACGAACTTGTAGTGACTCACATTTATCACGAGAACACGACTGGTTTAATAAAAACAATTATTATTATGACCAACTGTACCTGTGTTTGTTTTAATGTTCTTTTGTTTGACTGTGCTAATGACAGCTATATTGTGCTTCCATTCTTATTCTTACACTTTGATTGTGACTTCACGCGAATTCGGTTACGTTCTGTAACCAAGCTTGTATTCTGGCACGATCTCGGTATCCTTTCGATACCACGAGATCGCCAGCAAATATATCTCGATTTGGTCTATTAATTGCCTTCTGATATTTGGCTTCTCGGGGATTTTATGGATTTATTTGGTTACGTTCAACCTTCGCCTTCTGATTTACTTGGCACGTGTATTTTGGTAGCGGTGTTCATAGTTAATCTGGACTCGACGCCACGCTACAAACTCTCCAGTGATATAATCCAACGTAGAATGAGATATACTCCAATTACAGTCTATAAATAATGATAGTATTTGATTTAGACTTCAGTTAACTCAATCACAAACGAAGATAGAACGAGGAGTGTGTGAGTAGTAGTGTATTTGTTAGCCAGCAAGAGTATGTCACGCTATGTTAGTATCACAACGGAGTGTCCTCAAGGTCATTGACTAAAACAACAGTTGCAGTCATTTAATGATAAATATACATACAGTGAAAGATTGGCAAAATAAATACACATAATAATACAAAATATTTAAGAAATAAGCTTGTCAGTCATATCTCCACACATTTAATTCAGAAGTAATGTTGAACGAAAATCGAAACGAGTTATGAATGTAATTTTCTATTTCATACTGTCATATCATTCGTCACAAAGTCATTGCAAAAAATGAATACTTACTTACTTACTTACGCCTGTTGCTCCTAATGGAGCTTAGGCCGCCGACCAGCATTCTCCAACCCACTCTGTCCTGGGCCTTCTTTCTAGTTCCATCCAATTCTTGTTCATTTTTCTCATGTCTATCTCCATTTCTCGGCGTAATGTGCTCTTTGGTCCTCCTCTTCTCCTTCAGCCTTGAGGATTCCATGTGAGGGCTTGTCTTGTGACGCAATTGGGTGCTTTCCTCAATATGTGTCCTATCCGCTTCCAGCGCTTCTTCCTGATTTCTTCCTCAGCTGGGATCTGGTTTGTTCTCTCCCACAGTAGGTCGTTGCTAATAGTGTCCGGCCAACGGATCTGAAGTATTTTGCGTAGACAACTGTTAATAAAGAGTTGTATGTTCTGGATGATGGCTTTCGTAGTTCTCCAGGTTTCCGCCCCATATAGTAGAACTGTCTTGACATTTGTATTGAAAATCCTGACCTTGGTGTTGGTTGACAGTTGTTCTGAGTTCCAGATGTTCTTCAGTTGTAAATATGCTGCTCTTGCTTTGCCGATCCGCGCCTTCACATCTGCATCAGATCCACCCTGTTCATCAATGATGCTGCCCAGATGTGTAAAGGTTTTTACATCTTCCAAATCTTCTCCATCAATTGTGATTGGATTGGTGCATGCTGTGTTGTATCGGAGAATCCTGCTTTTCCTTTGTGTATATTGAAAAATTGAATAGGCTACCACAAAAGAAGTTTGAATTAACTTCAGAATGGAGCTATGAACGATTGTTCACTTCAGAGCAGTGCAAAATACTCTATTTTTGTACAAATACTGCCAACATTTATAGTTGTACTAATTCTTCGTCACGATCTGAATCTATGAACTTAGAGAGCCAAGAACTTTTTCTACCATAATTTAAAGTTTGTGTATTAGGAAGAAATTCATATTAAAAATCAAAAGATCCAACGAAAATCTAATGATAATCTTCGAAACAGTTATCGCATTTTACTTACAGAAACAATGACAGTAAAAACACTCTAAAACTAAGATTATAGTACATACATTCCCACTGAATAAGTAGTTTCTGATTATACAGTGCATCAGAGTTTTGAAATTTAGTGTTGATAACAGTCTTCCTCAATCAATAATTTGATTACTACTTAAATAGTGATGCGATACACATGAATAGTTTTAAAAGTCATCCTGAAGATATTCTCTGTACAAAAAACATTAGATGGTCGTGATGATGTCACAGGTATTCAGTGTTTGACAACGCTTCTACCAGTAACACCTTCTAATGTATTTCGTTCCCACCAAGAGAAATCAAAAGACAGAGTCGAGGAGATCGGAAGAGTATATTTGGCGATGACCAATATATCGGGATTCTCTGATCTAATCTGGCTAGCGATTGTGGTTGATGTTGAGCACGGCGTTACTACACGTGATCTGGTGCGGATGCCTGACCGAGCGCCTTCAGCTAGATGAGTCCACTAAAACATATGGTCAGCATCCAATGTCGAAAACTTACAGAGCTATTTATTTTAGGGATTTATTTACCGCTACAGATCACTCCCCCCCTAGTGGGGCAGTGACGACCCTAAGACGTGGCCAGCCAGAAGTTTAAACCCAACGAGTTTGTCGTTGGTAAACACTCTTCTGATAGCTTACTAAATTTAGCAGCGTCTGGTCGTCTTTCCTTACTATATGGGACGGAGGTACAACATAGTAAAAAAAAGAAAATTACAATGAAAATTTCGGATCCTCATAAACGTCATCGTTCTTTTCCAGCCGTCCTGGAAAAGAAAAAAGAAAATGTAAGTGCATGTCGAAATACACTCGTATATGCGTAAAAACACAATGTCGGCGAAAAAAATGGAAAATAAACTCATGAGCACGTAATAGCGTTAAAAAATTGTTTTTTTGTTTGGTTTTTTTAAATAGAAATAAAAATATATAAGCATATTAAAATTGTTTTTTTTTAAAAAAAATAATATAAAATGTCGAGAAGTGCCTTACGTGCAATAGTCGTTTAAATGTTCTGGAAATCTCACCCTTCTTCCAGAACGCGTCGTTTTAAGTTTATTTTCGGATACTGTCGAAGTATCTTCGTGTGTGTTGGTTGTCGGATGAGGTATTATAAGTGTCTGAGTCGTGTCGTTCGATTGTACCGAAGGAAAATCGACGTGGATAGGATTTCCTTCTAAATACGCTGCTTTTAAGCGATCGATGCTGATGCTATCGTTGGTTCCGTTCTTATCGACTATATAGTACTTAGATTCACGTTGAAGAACTTTGAAGGGTCCTTCGTATGCTGATTCGAATGGTCGTCGATGCGAGTCTCGACGAATGAAAACGTGTGTACTATATCGTAAGTCAGGTTGAACGAAAACATCAGTTGATTGAGGTCGAGTGGAAGCAGGTTTAACTGAACGCATTGCGTTTGTAAGCCTGTTCGTGTAGGAGGTTAGATCCATGTTCATCGAAGAGCACGAAGGATCCACGAATTCTCCTGGAAGTCGAAGTGTCGTTCCATAAACGAGTTGAGCCGCAGTGTATCCAATGTCAGCTTTCACTGCATTGCGGATACCTAGTAAGACGAGTGGAAGAGCGTCGGTCCATTGTGAAACGTTTGCAGCTGATAGCGAAGCTTTCAGTTGTCGGTGAAAACGTTCTACCAACCCGTTTGCTTGTGGATGGTAGGCGGTCGTTCGGAAGCGAGTGATTCCTAAAAGTGTGGTCAGACGACGGAAAAGATCAGATTCAAACTGACGTCCGCGGTCTGTAGTGATGGTTGAAGGGCAACCGAAGTTTGCTACCCATCGTTCGACGAATGTGCGGGCCACTGTTTCAGCAGTGCTGTCCTTGATAGGTACTGCTTCTGGCCATCGAGTGAAACGGTCTACGCAGGTTAAGAGATAAGAGTATCCATTTGAATCTGGTAAAGGTCCTACCAAATCCAGATGAACATG